AAAGGTGCATCTGTTAAAGTGAAGTTACTGTGCAAGAAATGAGAAGGGAGCAAGAGATGAAAAATGAGGCAGTGATGAAAACATTGTCATAAAAATGAAAAATGACAGACGGCAGAGATGAAAATAAGAGGCAGTGAAAAACTAATAATGTTTTCCAAATGTTATTTCTTAGAATGATTACTTCTTGCTTCCTTATTATTTTGGCTCAATGTATAAGCTTACAACTTTTATTTGGATCAAACCCCATTTGTAAAGAGAGATTTACATTGTTAAAATACAATTGACCATAAGGCAACTTATGCTTTATTTGATCTTGATAGTATTCTAACGTAGATTTACAAACTAATGCAATTTTATAAAGTTGTTGGTGCTTCTGTATTCAGCCTGGAAGGTCATTTCTTTCTATTTCAAGATAACCAACGCCAAGCACAAATTGGTAAGATAGCCAGAAATTAATCAATTTATGGTCTATTTGATTAAACAGGAAGAAACTCACATGAATTATGGTAAATCCACTGAAACAATCATGATTTGCTGACATTTGCATTCTACTGAACTTTCAAAGTCAATTGACAACACAATTTAGCACATCAGCAGGAAAAGGTAGCCTATTTTCACATCTTATACTTAATTACATAACACTTCTCATGCAACCACACCGGATCTTCTTTCATAATTAAAGCTATACTTTCAGAAAAAGTATTTAATGTAGTTTGTTGAAATGATAAGCCTAAGTTCAACCTATTACCTTGAAAAGCAGATGAAAACAATAACCTGATCACCCTAAAGAGGTTATCATGTTACAGCATATCAGAAACAACAGTCACAAGTGACAAACCTGTTCGTACAGTCAAAAATAACATGATCACCCTAAAGAACTTATCATTTACAGCATAGCAGAAACAACACTCGCAACCCTGTTCATACAGTCAAGTGTGTAGGAAAATTGTTGCATATCTTAGGGCCCAGATACCAAAGTTTCTAAAAGGTTGGAGGAAACATAGGAGTTTGCCAACCGGCGATTTATTAATATTACACATGGCAGTGGCTCTATGATCTCTAGAACAAACTGGCATCAATGAAGTGCAGATTGCTAGAGCCATACAAAGACCCATGTGACAGTGCAGTGTGCACCATTGAAGTTAAAAATGTGGAGGGCAACTCAACATACAGAATCCAAGATACACATGATTCGTTAGTTAAATGTTAATCTATCTAGACTAACACCCACAGTAAGTGCCAACACTGGAGAATCATAACAAATTACCTTGAATTGAAGGATACACTCCTCCCTGGTGGGACCTCCATCTTCATCCTCAGAGTCTGAAGAGGAATTAGACGTATCAACATCACCATTTGTATCCTTGCGCTTATCTTTATTTTTCTCCATTTGTGGATCCTTGCTGGGACCGTCAGTTGGTTTTGACCCATTCAGTTCTAAAGGCACCGTGCTCGATAAAGCTGTAGACTGAGATGTAGAATCAGGTATTCCAGAATCCTGCAGCTTCTTTTTTATGAGATCCAGTGCAGAAGAGGAAGTAGAGGCAGCTGCAGGTCTAATAGATGTGGCATCACGACCACCTGTGTTAGCAGCAGGTGTGCTCAAACTAGCAAGATCCACACCTTTATTCATAACGACACTTGGAACCAGCACTGATTGAGCTTTCAGAGCATCAGCATCTTGCTGCTTCTTCAATTCTATTACGTCGCTGGGTATTTGCCAGCTGCTTAACTGATCAAGAAACAGACGATATTAAACAAACCAGTGCAGTCGTCACCAGGCAAAACAAAGATCAAGATTAAGACAGCTATATATTGTAGAAGAAGAAATGAGGATGTGCCATGGAAACCATAAGCATATTCCAAACAAGCAAAGAAGTTCAGTTCATTAAACTTTCCGCAAAATTTTCCCTTCAAGCATTGTCAGAAAAAAAAAGGATGGTGAGTATTACGAGTTCATCTAGACAGAACGAACTCAGAAACAAGAATAAATGATACTACGCCTAGTTCTTATTGAATGCCGTTCTAGAGAAAATAAGGAGAATAAACAATTCATGGCCTGCCTAATTATTCTTTACCAAAATCATATATTTAGATATTTATTTCCTAATAATTATTCTAAAACTCATACCATACTTATCTAATTCTTTCCATCTCTTATACTTTCCCTTTCCATACTTTAAGATTTCTTGTAAAGTCATACAGATATAATGGAAATATAGTTTAAAATGACAAATAATTAGCAACAAAAAATCCAACCTAAAACACCGGTTAGTAAGAAAGAGAGTATGAAGGAATGAAATCATAATCATCAGCCACCGTAAATCTAACACCTCTAAACAAACAATATTTATGGAAAATGTCAAAACGAGAATATCCATAATACCCAAACATCAATCAAAGCATACCTGGGTTGTAGAGTTGTAGTAATATTTTTTTCCATCATTAGTGGTAACCAATGTCCAGTCTGTACCAGTCAATTTCTCCCTTGACACATAAGAACAAGCCAAGACATCAGTAAAACTTACACTTGAGAAACCAGGCATGCGCAGTCAAATTTGAGACATGGCAGACATGTATCACCAGTAGATCCAATAAATATGAAAGAAGAATCGTTGAATTTGATAAATTCATGAAAGGCAGTCAAATTTGAGACATGGCAGACATGTATCACCAGTAGATCCAATAAATATGAAAGAAGAATCGTTGAATTTGATAAATTCATGAAAGGCTACAGCAGAATCATTATATGGTAATTCAGTTTGCAAGAAACCTTCTCTCAGCATAGTTTTTTATCTCGGTTGTGAACCATATTTATATGGTATAAGGAACCGATAATATGACCTTTTGTTTAACACCATACACCATATTATATACAATATAAAACAAATGGACAAGTTGCCCCATTTAAATCCAATTCAAGTAACATCACTAAAAAAATTGAATAACCTTCAAACTCAATGTAACTACTGCAAAATAGTCAACAAAAGCATATTACAAGCTTCTGAACCAGCTAAAAATTCTTTGAAAACCCATGTCAAAGGTTCTTCCCATGCTTTATTGCATGCCTCCTCTCTATTGAACAGTTCATTTCTTTATCTCTCCACCAATTACGCAATTAGATAGAACATATACAAATACGCAAGCAGCCCACATTCAAAAGATATTATTGCATGATACTTCCTCCAAACATACTGATACAGGCCAGAGAGGAAATTTTATCATTCATTTTAAGTGATACAAATACCAACAGTTGGATTCAGTTCCAAACGAATTTAAAGTATCACAAATAGTCATATGACTACACTCTAACAATTCCGTGCTAACTATCACTCTGCAGTTACTACACTTTAACTATTGCCTGCTAACTATCACTCTGCAGTGATCAACTTATCCATAAATTTAATAAACCAGGAAATACATTTAATATTATACTTCAAAACGTAATGTGAAAATCCTATGCTTTCTATCAAAGTAATGAAACTAGATGGAGTATAAACTTGCAGATTACTTGTATTTAAATGCACCAATACTAGTCTATCACAACAAAATGACCCATTAAGTAGTTTTTGTCATTAAAACGCCTTTCACTCCCTTGTTGCCAATTTGAAATCAAGTAAACTTCAATTTGAAAAGAAAAATTGCAATCCAGTTCCAGCTTCAGGAATAGAGATTGAGCATTTCAGAAAGTTTACCTCACAGCCAACATCAACAGTAAACTGTTTACACATTAAAATTCACCATTTCAATAAGCTACTCATCCAAGAAAAATATACAAAATGGAAGGAAGTGAAGAAGCTACAGACAAAACAAAACTAAATAATAGCAAAACATGAAGTGAAGGTATAAATTATATTTCCTTCGACAAACTCACCATGAAACAGGAGTTGTCTGCAGAGTGGCTCTATTAGACTGCATCCATTCATTAAAAAAGAAAAATAAAAATCAGATTCAATCACGAAATAAGTCTTGGATGTCTACATCAACAATAGAAAAGAGAGACAGAGAAAGCAAGTCCAAGATTGTGAACCATGGTATCCAACGATCAATCAAAAGTACTTGGTGTTTTTAGTGATTCACCCAAAAAAAAATGACAGAAATGCGGATTCAGAGTCCTAGACTGCTACTAGGTATACCTGGAATCTCGAAGTTGGAATACTTCTGTGCAGCGTAAGAAGAATTACACAATCTAGAAGGGCCACGCTACTGTTCTGTTACCTACACTTCACATCCTCACTTTATTTTCTCTCAATACACAAAACTGATCTCACTTGTTTTATTTTATCGCTTAAACTCTACATAAGTTGAGGGCATTGAAACTACGCAAATCCTTCTTTACACTTCTATAAGTTCATCGCCAGCTTTTTGAGAAAAGCCCTCGTTCACCTTCCAACAAGCAATGTGGACAAAAATTACTAAGTTGAGATCATCATATTCAGCCTACCACCAGCTACCGTTTAACAGCAGCAACACTTAGGGTGATCTGATATGCTTTCATTTAGAAATAATAGCTAAGATTAGAATTTCGAGTGTTTGAGTGGAAATGAGCAGCGATACTTAGGGTGATCTGATACACTTTCACTTAGAAATAATAGCTAAGATTAGAATTTCGAGGGTTTGAGTAGTGGAAATGAGATGGAACTGAAAGTGAGTGAATAGCGGTACTTCCACAAAATTCATTAAGGGGAAAAATTCTGGATGAATTTGTATCAAGTAGCACCTAATAGACGAGCATATGCACTAATAAGCAAACCTTTTGACCATTACGTATAGAATATAGTAACAAACACGGCCAATTAACAAAGACTAGAATTCTGGCTCTGTGCAAATGCATGGTACGCATATAGTTTTATATATATACAATATTTGAAATCATAGTTTATTTAATAGTACGTAACGTATTCTATAGAATTATTACTGGACTGATAGCCTTTGGTCAAAGTTTACAACATGGGTTAAAATATAAACATAAATCTATAGTAATTATACATATATTAATAACTATTTAGATAGCTGGTAATTTATAAATGAAATGGATTTGTATGATTTAATATGTTATAATCTACTTATTACAATTATAGAAGTATATGTCAATGGAAAAATATGATTTAAAAACGGACAATACAAATATAAATCCCCTCTATATATAATTTGAGAACGTTTGAGCCTAAGGGTATGGCTCCCACGCCCTGTACGCTTATTTGTCGCAATTCTATGCTTTGGCTTAACAGGTTTGGATGCAAACTCAACTATCCCAAGTAGGTTTGTGAATTACCTATTTTATCTTAAATTCCTTTTATCATAATTAATCTTTAGTTTTCCTTAATCATACATACCTTCTGCTAATATCTTAGAAATCTTTTGCTAACATACTTTCTATACTCATGTCTAAAATAATTTTGTTTTCTCCGCACAATTTCTTAATCTATCAACATGTTTGAAGATTGAAAATTCAAATCCCTCAATGGTACAATTTTTTTTTTAATATCTTTTTGGGATTTCAATCTCGACTTATATTTATTTTTATGGCTTCTTCAACATTGACTGATTTGTCGGAGTTGTTAGATTTTTTTTTTAAATATCATGAATTTTCAAAATGAATCTTGATCATACTTAAATGTTTGTTTCAAGCAGAGTTGGGGAACTTGGGGCAGAGTGCGTCGTCCCCCTGCTAAGCACAACCGATGATGCTGATGATTGCTTTGTTTTCATCATTTTTTGATCCAATTAAGGATGGTGATTGATGAAGTGTGTGATTTGTGGAGTTTTATTGTCATACATATGCATATATTTTCTATTAGGAAAACACAATTTTGAAAGTTGAATTTAGAAGTTCTCTCATATTTCTAGAAAACTTACATAGCTTAGCATTATTCTTGTAAAACCCATATTAGGTCTTTAATGAGGGAATATGTTTGATTCAAATAAATATGTTTAGGATGATAATGTTGTGAAGATCTTAATTTCAATGTAGCTCAAGTTAATGATTGTATAAAATTTTGTATAAATTTATATTTTCAGGATTCAAATTCGATATTGCATAAATTTACATTTTTTGGGATACTAAGAATGTAGCGCCCCGTTTATTTAAATAGAACTCTTCCTATTTTATGTTAACATTAATAATAAATTTGGCTATTAAAACAATTATTATTATTATTATTATTAACCTAATTAACTTTCCTAACAAGAATTAAGGTGAGATTTTTAGGAGTGAGATAAGGATTTAAATTGTATAAGTTCAAAATTTAAAAGGGATTCGAGATAAGTTATTTTAGGAAGAAATTCTCCCACACGTTTTTCTCCCAATCAAGGTCGGATTCCTTGGACGGTTACAACAAAATCTCGAGCTTTCCTCCTCCTTCTCTTTATACCCCATCAGCACCTCTTTCGACCCTTAGTCTCTTCTTTCCTTTTCATCCGGCGACCGAGAGCAGCCCTTGAGGTCGAGACCTTCCTTCGGCAGCAATTCCCTAGGAACTAAATCTCTTCAACTCGGCGCAAGGTAAGGGTGTGTTTGTATATGAATTATCTCATTCCATATTCAATTCATACTCAAAATTTAACTCTACTCTAACCCAACTCCACTATCCTTAATATTATCAATATAATTAAATAATATCAACCAATCATTCTTACATATCACATCAACTTTAATTCACTATTTATCCACTCACATAATTTTAACTAATCATCACTTTATATCTTCTCTCTCCTACTTTTACGTCAAATCAATTTTAATTATTTTATTTTAAATATTATTTAATATAAACTCAATGTCCCACTATCAACTAACGATACCACGTTTTTCAAAATTAACTATAGTTAACCAAAAAGAACTCATTTTGAGCGGATTTATTTGTATACAAACACGCTCTAAGTTTTTAAAGTTTGATTTGTCTTTTGCTTCAAGTTTCTGATTAGATTCAGCATAGTCGAACCCTTTATCCCGTGGATTAACCTTCAATCGAGCAATTCTGAGTCACCATACTCAGCCTCCGAGCCAACAAACCCAACCGCTAAGCCACCGCAACCCAGACGCAAGCACACTTACTCGCAGGCACTGTGCTCGCAGATGACTCGCGTGATGCTTGTGGGCACTCGCGGACATCACCCACATGACACTCGCAGGGAGGCCGCCATGATCCGCTCGCAGGCAGGCCGCTGAGAGCCCTCGCAGGTGCTCCCAGCAGTGCCGCATGCGCTCCTAGGCGCAATCCGCGCGACCCGCAGCGTTCCAGGCGCAGCTGCGCCACCCACAGCGTGCCGGCCAGATCCAAAACCCCAGCCCGTGGACAATAGGCCCCTTGGCCTTTTTCAGTGCTTAGCCAAGTCGCCGGGGGCAGCACCTAAGTCTCGAACCTCAATTAATTTTTTTCCGAGCAGTTAGCCTTTTTCCCATAATCCTTAACTGCACCTCGCTTCGAGTTTAATTAAGTTAAATTTTAAAAATTTTATCTATGGAATATTGTGTTTAAGTTAAATAATTTTATAATGTAGATGCCGAGGGGTCGAGTCCTTGAGGCGTTCTTTTGACCGCCCATTATTCGCTTACTTCAAGTTGAGGTGGCGATACTTGTACTACATGCTTATTTTTATTATTTTGACCGCCCATTATTCGCATACTTCAAGTTGAGGTGGCAATACTTGTACTACGTGCTTATTTTTGTTAATCGAAAATGTGTTATGTGGGCATGTGATGTGTTATGTGGGCAGGCCTTTGGCAAAGTATGAGGCCTTCGGGAAAATTACCAGGGCTTCCGGGCACTGGGAAGCCTTCGGGCAAATTACCACTTCGAGCAATTATTTTACTACGGCATATAATAATTGTAACATCTGTTATTAACTTAAATAAATTGCGCAGTGTGTTTCCCCATTGAGTCAGTCCATACTCGCCCCTTATTTAATAATTTGGTTGAGGAGTTCGCGTGGGGACTGGGGGATGTCGGGTGGCATTTCGAACTTAACTGACACTTCTATATTTAGATGTTTATTTTTGCTCATTTGGATTATGACTAGGGATTATTTAGAACACATTGTTGTTATTCGTCCATTCATGATTTTGGAGTTTGGTTTGAATGCGCTTTACTTGCCTTTCGACTTACTACATTATGGTGCTTCATGAGTATTATTTGAGTGTTAAGGTTATGATGAAGTTGCCTTGTTGAGTTCCCAAGGTTTAATTATGCTAAGTTGGCATGGGTTATATTGTTAAGGTTCAAAGGCGAGTCTTGTTGCATACCTATTCTTTTTAGTAAGACCACGTTAAAAGTGTCTTGTGATTATTAAGTTGTATGCGAATGTTTAATTAAGTAGTGCCAAGAGTTAATTTCATGAATAAATTAAGAGGGCGCTACAAAGAAATCATCCAAAACATCCATTAAATTCATTATTTTAATGTTTTTATAAGTTAATGATTTCTTGGACTTTTTTTACTAATAGATTTATTTGTCATGCTAATTCACCTATGCTAGAGTTGAAAAAGGTGACCACCAACGATATAAAGTTCATATGCCTGATTTGATCAGCTTTAGGTCCGAGGGCTCTGCCTTGAAAATTATGTACAGTTTTTATCGGCAATGGAACTTAAATCTACTACACATATGATTGAAACAAAGCATATTTTGTTGCAAGAAAGTGTATATAAATTGTCAAACGACTCCGTTTGTATTGTTTCTTAAGTTTGTGGTTTCCAGAAAATGTGTTTGTTAGTATCAGAACTACTACCATTAGTTTATCCATTGTAAATTATATAAAATATGTTTGTTAATATCATAACTACTACCATTAGTTTATCCATTGTAAATTATGATAATGGACAAATTTAAATTGGAGTAACATAGATTTCATTCGCATTTTGGTATGATTTCAAATTGATGAGCAAACTGATTGTGAGTGTTTCTATTTATTCAAAAAATGAATGAAGTTTCCATTCAACATTTGGGTTGATTTGAAACTCTAACAGGGCAATTAGCAATCAAAACCTAGTTAAAATCGATCAAAATTGATCCTGAGTTAAAGTGAGTTATTTTGAATAAAGTTCATTGAGTGATAAGAGATTGTAATTAAATGTAATTTAAAATGTAATGATTAAAGTTGATGTGATGTAAGTGTGGGGAGCGAAGATGAAAGTGATACGTATTTAAAAATATGTGAGTAGATAAATAGTGAACTAAAATTAATATGATGTAGGATAGAGATAATTGATATTATCTTAATTATATTGATAATATTGAAGATAGTATGAGTTGAGATAAAGTGAGTAAAAAAAACTGATCCAATCAAAACTGATTTTGATCAACTCCTTACCAATCATTTTTACAAATAATGGCACAATCTTGGGATTTTCTTTTCAAATAATCTACCACTACAAAATCATTTGTGTTAATTTAACTTGTAACGGAAGACATTGAATAATAATTTAAAATTATTTCTTAATTATGCCAATCACTATTAATCATTTGAACTTTTTTATTGGTAAAAGAAACCTATCAATATTCCATTCTTGAGGTTGGAGTTATATCAATTTTAATTTAACAACAATGAACATTAATTAACTGTAATAATTCATATCATTTGTAAAAAAATTTGGTAATGTCACACATAACTGTTTCAATTAGTAAATAACATTTATAATTTAATTAAATTATAAGAAAATTAAATATATGAAATTGTATTATTGATATGTTTTATTTCAATAACGATGTTAACTATTTCAAATCAAAATCTTATAAAACTATATTGTTGACTGTATTTGTTCAAATAAAAAAATAAATTCAACTTAAATTTACTCATTTTTTTATGATATTGAATCAAATTCTAATAATTATTTAAGAGTTTGTAGTCTCTATAAATGTATGTATATTCAAATTTTAAAATAAAACTAATAATTCTCCTTTTAAACTTTGTTATGCAAATTTCTTTAATTAATAAAAATAATAAGAGTTTATAGATTTTTTTACAATATTTTATATAAAATGAGAGAATCGCGATTAAGATGATTTGGGCATGTGCATAAGTATAGGGTGAGCAGGGTAGAAACATTAGAATTAAAAACACAAATTAAAGGGGGGGAGGGGGGGTGGGTAGACCTAAGAAAACTTGAAAGAAGACAATAAAAAATGATTTACAATATTTAAATTTGAGTGAGGATATGTGCTTCGATCGAGCACAATGGCGACATGTAATCCATATAGCCGACCCCACTTAGTGGGATTTTGACGCCTTGTTGATTGATTGATATTATATAAGTATTATTTAATTCAATGCTCGTGTAGTACACGGGTGTTGCACTAGTATGGATTATAGAGATTAATCACATTTAGAGAGTACTTTATATAAGTATAATTTATCATAAAATGTTATATTTGATATACATAATTTGTTGAACAATTAAATTGTATGAATTATGAGAGGTGAATACATTTTAGGTCAAGTAATTGAGATTGGATAAAGAATCATTTTGGAATTTTTTTCTAGACAGGCGAGAGATGGAAAGGTGAAAAAGATTTGAAGGGAGAATGAAATAATAAGATTGTGAACAGATATAAGATACAAATATAATGATTGAAGTTGACTGGTAATGGATATATATAGAAATATACGAGTGTGAACCGTGATTTTGTAAGAAAATGTGTAATAATGATTGATCCTTATTTCTTAATTGTGTTGATGAGATTGATAAGAGAAAATGTGAGATGGATTAAATAGTTGTATATTCTGAAAATATAGTCTCCAATAGCAATCTCAATGGCAAAAAAATTGTCCAGCAAGACGGAAACTTAAATATTTTCTATATTCAATCCCCAAAGGTAAGATTTTCAAAAGGTAGACTGAAAATTTAAACAAAAAAAATGATTTTTTTTACAAAAAAATATTTGAATTAGTGCAAAGTACTGATACAAAAATAACACAGTAAATAAACGTCTAAAAGCAACATGACCTACTACCAAATTTGAAAACCTACTTTTGCCAGGAAGAGTTTATATTACTAATTTTAGACAATTGTCAATTAATACACACACACATAGATAGCAGGAAGACATTATTCAACTTAACCAAATACTGGACATTATAGAAGCCAGACATGGTACAAAATTAAAACTTGTAATAATATATTAAAAATGGGGGAATGCATACAGTACCTCTACTTTAAAACCAGGTGGCTTCTCATATGTTGACTTCCCAGTCACCGCATTATAATAATAAACAGTGCCGGTTTCTGTCCTGTGCGCAGTCCAAGCATCCAGTTGCTCTTTGGTATCTTTGGTTTGATTATTACAAAATTTAATGTCATCAATCAGAAGTGCTCACAGCATTACTAGCACCAAAGTGTATGGACACAAGAGTATAACAACTTTTCAAGGGAAAACCTGACTTACCAATTCCCGAAAGTAACTCTGCCTGTCCAGAACCCACAGATTGACCATCAGCAGCAGGGACTCCAACTGCAGATATAGGTGGAGAAACACCAACACCAGGGGGTTGGATATCAGGATATGAAACAGAAACTGGCGGCATACCACAAGAGGGCATGGAATAAGGAGCACAGAGAGGTGCATATGGAGAAAATGGTGGTCTAGCTAAGCCATTATTCTGCAACCACAGTCCAGGTGAAGCCTCCTGAGGAGAAGGGGATGGGAAATTATGCTGAATTGGGGGGTTATAGATAACACTAACAGGAGCAGGGGGCATAAAGGTTCTTATATGTGCACTTGAGTCGGCAGATGAAGATAGGATGGTTGAAGTAGATGGAGAAGGAACCGAAGAAGGTATTAGGGGAGTTTTAGAAATCCCTGTAGGCACTTGAAATGTTGGTGCGGAGGGCATCCACATAGGCTTATTTGGACTAGGATGTGGATGAGCAGACTGAGAACCAGATTGCATAAATGTTTGTGCAGAATTCATCGATCCCGTATCATCAGTTCTCACATTCTGCACCCAGCCCAAAACGTTAAATACCAAAATTAGCGTGTAAGCATTTAACTTGAGTGAGTGACCAAGGCAAAGGAAAATTTAAAATCCACCGACCACGGTTGAGGTACTGGTTATATAGACCCAAATATTCTATTTGGCACAACAAGTTTAACATTGTTAATAAATCTTGACAGCCAGGAGCTAGCCTATTTACAATCAAGGTACACCATCATTGCCCCCTCATGCTAAATTTTCTCCGTTTCTGTTTTGCTGCTTTTGTAGATACATATTACCAGAGAACTAATATCATCATGCACTGTTCTGCTAGAAGATTTAACTAATGTTCCCCACCAGATCCTTCTAACAACTAATTAGCAGGTCACTGATGACTTCTGCTTGTATTAACCCCTATATAACTAGATATCATCGGAAATTCTTGCACCAGCTATATTTTCAAGCAAGGAACACTGTTTAGTAACAGATGACAGGAGCTTTAAAATTGACAAATGAAAGATGTAAAATTTGAACTTGTTAAGGAGGCTTCACAAAGAACATGTCAGATGCATAGTCTTATAACAGGGTGTAAGTTGTGTGCCTAGGTCAAAGAAAAATCTAATTAAACGAATCACATTTTAGAAAACAAGAAAACAGAAATGAGGCAAGCCAATGAAGAAAGCAGGAATTTACACCGTCATGCATATGATATCAGGTTGGGCTCACATCTCAAGAAAAACGACTACCTATTATCCAGAAAGAGCAATGAAGGGTAGGAAGGAATTAAGCTAATACATACAGTTCGATGTGATAGATCTGTCTGATTTGGCTGCACCTTTCCACTGAAAGAATAATTTCCAGCAAGTGATGAACTTCCTTCAATCACAACACGCGGGCCTGGAGGAGCTGTGGCCTGTGATACTACAGCTCCAAAGGAACCAGGATGTGGGGGGAAAGAAGAAGCAGGAGGTTGCATGGCTTTTCAGGAAATGAAGCACTCTTCCAATAGGTGCCAGATGTACCAATTCAAGGAGAACGACCATATCAAAACATCATTGTATCGCTTTATAAAAAATATTTAAAACATATATCATCAACACAATTGACTATAGAGTTAAAACTACACACTTAGTACTCGTGAACAAAAGAAAGTTGGAATATGAAACTATTTAANATAGATTAGATAGATTAGAGAGAGAGAGAGAGAGTGAGGGAGAGGGAGAGAAAGAGAGAGAGAGAGAGAGAGAGAGAGAGAGAGAGAGAGATAGGGAGAGAGAAACAATGTCTCAACAGAATATTTACTGGTTAAGTAGTTTTAGGGCTTGTTTGTTTATTAATTTACCAACAAAAAATCCAATCTCAACTCAAAATCTAACTCAACCCCACTATCCACAATATTATCAATATAATTAAATAATATCAATCAATCATCCTTACACATCACATCAACTTTAATTAACTATTCATCCACTCACATGATTTTAACTACCTATCACATCCCATAATTTCTCTCCTACTTTTACATCAAATCAACTTCAATCATTTTTTTAAATATTATTTTAATAATCCCATTGAAAACTAACCAAACCAGTTTATTTGCATACAAACAAGCCCTTGGTGTTCCACACAAAGGTATAAAAAGTGAAATTTCTTGGTTACAGAAGTGCTCATTTAAGTTTGATTAAGATTTTTAAGACAGTTAAATAAAATACTGTTGTTTCCCTATTCACAAAACTTATCGTAAAGCATAGGTGCCGATTGATTAACTCGTCTTTCACTAACATTGATTTTCTTCTCTCGTTCAGCTAGCAGACAAAGTCGTTTCATTCCATAGCTAATTTACACTAGCAAGTTACCAAAAAACCAATTCATGAGTTCATGCAATATTCATTCTTACATCGAGCATGGAGTACAATTATATGCTTCAGCCACTCTTTACCATATTTGGTAGTCTAGACAAAAATGTGATTTTCTTATCATGTACAAACGTAAGCTTTAGTTGATGTAGGAAAAGGAGTAATGGTCCTAAAAAAATGATACCAGCATAGAATTTAAAAAATTCACCAGCCTATGTGACGTAAAACAACACAAATGATACGAAAGATGTATATGAGGACACGTAAAATATAAGTAACTCCAACGGGATTATAAGGGGACATCAAGAACTTCGAGGAAGCATACTAACCAGAGTCATGTAAGAGAAGGAATGTCTTGTTACGATATTTCACTAGTAAAGGTGCATCACACGAATAGGTGTGGTTTCTATTTGAACTGGGAATGGAGTGCCTCATTGTTTCTCTAGTTTAATTTATATTCCTATTTCCTAATACTAAATAAGATTTCATTCCATCACCCCACTTGAACATGAATTACTTGGGAGAATTAGGTTCAACAACGCATAATTAGTAGAATAAACTCAATGAGTTTGCTTATCACACTACGCTTGCCTCCTTCAGATATAAAACCAAGAAACAACTTAAGTGCTCAGCTTATTTAATAAAAGTAAAAAAACAAAAGGAAATGAATAAAACGTATAAGTATGCATAACATCCTAAATAAAAAGAAGAGAAAGGTAAACTAAATCAAGAGGGAAAAACACCGGATTGAAAGAGATGGCCGGGGAACATGAAAATTGAATCAATTGTTTTAGGGTTTATCAATACTTCACATAGGATCAGTGTAACTAAAGGGGAAATTATCAAGGAAATGAACAATGTGGAGGCGAAGAAGACAACTTACCAGAGAGAAGAGAAGTACACTAAATTTGGCCGGAAAGCGAACTGCGAGGTGAAGTTATGTGCGGAGAAGGTTTTTGTTTCTTGTCCTATTTTCATTTTTACGAGGGATTATTGCAGGAATTCTATGGTGCCAATGAGGCAGCATAAGGCATGACATAAATGTGATATGTCATCCTTGAAAAAAATATGCTTATCGGGCAATTTTTAAAATTGAATTAGAATAAAATATAATGAATAAATATTCACAAATATTCTAGGGAGGTCGTCATCTCAATATATATNTTTTTTTACACTTTTGTGCTTTCAGATTTTTTTCATTTTTATAATTATTATTATTATTACTATTAAGTAATATAATTTTAGTGTTTTTAGCATATCTATTTTATTGGTTTTCATCTTTTCTTTTAGATTTATTTTTTTCAAAAGAGAAATTTGGATGACAGACTCTTCATCACCTTTGTACCAAATTTCATCACCTTTGTCGCAGCATGAACACAAATAATACACATATGCCACATCTCCATCATAACATAAATACTCCTGTGCATATCTTTCATAATAGTCGTGGTAAGGGGATTCATTACCCTAACGGCGAGAGTACGTGCCACGCAAGGACACGGCCTTTCATAATAGGTCTTTACGGAGACTTGCCTCATAAGGCAACCGTATTACATCGACGGGGACAACCGTAACGATGGCCATCATAATAGCTCACATCGATAGGCTACATATTCACGTTCATACATAGATCACGCCAAAACGGAACACATATTTAAAAACACATTGCACAGATAATTTTAGAATAACAACCCACCTGGATTCCAGATTGATAATAACTCAAAGCAATGGGAGTAGGTCGAGGCTGGACTCCTCAATTACCTACATTGAGTCAAGATGCTACAATCAACATCTATCTTGACTTTAAACGGAAAACACAAAACAGACCTAGTCGAACTTATTTCGACTAAGTAGTTCGTGAAGTCCTGTGGATGTTGGAACACTAAGACTCGGCACTAAACTCGACCAAACCACATAAGGGAGTTCACATAAATCCATCTAAGGATTGACCAAGTCAAACTCACATCCAAAACGAAAAGCAAGTCGATTCCCAACTTTCATTTCAAAATCATGTTTCGAGAATAGAAATCATTAATCACATGAAAAATAGATGGTCAAGCTACCCTACGACTTAGGCTCTGCAATTTTATCCAAAATTACAACTCCCAGAAACATGTAATACCACAAATTTTCAGCTTCAAACTCGAAATACACTATTTTATAAAATTCGAACAAGATATCAACAAAATGGGAACATCAATTCATACAGGAACTTAATGAACGAATCAGAACTTGTAAATTTAACACAACATACAGTATGCTTAAGTCTATGTATAAAAATCTCAGCCCCGAATATTGACTGCTACTATTTTTAAAAATTCATACGAGATTCAGTAGTTTGTCAAATTTAAATCAAAACCGAATCAAAATGGATTCCAAAAATTCCCATCTTTTAACAGCATAAATAGACACCCAAAATAAACATCTCAGTCAAGTTTCAGAATTTTACAACAACCAACCGATTTATAGTAATTCAACCAACTTTGTGCAGATTCAGCAAATAAATTATTTACCCTATCAAACTTAGTCCAAAAATTCTAAAAATTTAACACAACATATAAACATATCAGAGGCATAACATAATGAAATTTCATGTCAGTTGAAGCACAAACCAATTTATTAAGCTTTTAACAATATTCTGACTATAAATCACTTCATTTATTAAAAATAGCTACAGGCCTCTAAAATTTACGAAATGTTTATACAAGGCTGGAAATAATCAGATAACATGTCCCTCCAAATTTCAAGTCATTCCGAGTAGCGTGCAATGTTTAATAATTCAAACACTAATTCAGCAATTACCCGAATCGACAATTTCACGCATATGTCATAACAATAAATTTTCTCGTCCGAGGCCTTTCCATAAGGCCAAGGAATCGACATTGTTCCAATATCCACTGACTTACACGACTTTCGAGGTCTCGCTCAATTCTTTTAAAAATCGAAGAGATCCCGAACAACACGAATACACATAAAATCATAACTTTCACATAATTTCATGTCGAACCCATTAATCACGAAATATTCACATCTCATATATCAAATCGCAAAGAGCACATCACGTCATTTAAACACGATAAGCAATTAACATATAGACGATTTAAACGAGACGGGATCGACTAGATACCGTTCTCGGGAAAAACTCGGAAGAACGGAACAAAAAGACGAGGGCGAGCTCGCGGCGGCTAGCGGCGGATGCTCGGAGGCTTCACTCGACTCGCGACGGAGGAAAGAAAAGGGTTGTTACTCGCCGCAAAGTTTCTCGTCTATTTCCCGCCTCTCGGCTACTCACTGCTCCTCTCGAGTGGGGCCCGAAAGGTTGCTGCTCGTCAACAAGGGGTGCCGACGGGGACTTGCTGTTACTCGGGTCTCGGGATGGAAGAGCTATCGCTGCTCGACGTGAACTCACGGCCAGAGGGCTGCCGCTGCAAATGGCCCGACTTCTAGCTGTTGTCTGCCGGAATCACGTAAAGAGGGCGGCTCGCCGGGGTGCCGCTGCAAACGGCTCACGGCCGTGGAGGTTCGCCGGAAAAAGAACTGGCCGCGACGGAGGGCTGAACAAGTGCGACGATCTGCTGTACGGAGAAGGGTTCGCCGGATGTCGCAGGCTCGGAGAGGAGAGATGTAGTGCCCCGTTTATTTGTGGATTATTATTATTATTATTATTATTATTATTATTATTATTATTATTATTATTATTATTATTATTATTATTATTATTATCATCATCATCATTGATTATTATTATTGTGATATTATTAATTATTGCTTGCCAAATTGAATGTCTAAATATTATGTATTTAATTGTCAATTAATTGCTAATTGTATATTTTGATTAGTAATATTATTATTTTAAAATAATGTGTATAAATTTTAACCGAGTTATTATTTTGGGCTAAATCGAGCTCGAGAGTCGGCTCAAATTGTATAGTATCGGCCCAAACTTTGTATCTTTGGCCCAATATAATTTCTCTTGAGTCCATCTCCTTCAACCTAAAACACGCCGCAGCCTTTGTCCATCTTTTTTTTTCCTCTCTCGATCAAAATCACGTCGCAACTCTCAATCTCTTCTCTCGCCTAAATCCCTCGCGCAGCAGATAAGAAACCGATCGCCGGCGAGCTCTCCTCTCACCGCGCAACTTCTCCTCCTGTCCCGAGCCCTTTCCGGCGAACTTCCATAGCCGCTGCAATCCCAGCGACGAGAGCTCCCCCTCCGACAGGCTACTCAGTCACGACCAACCTCCGCAAGCCCTCCTCCGGCGAGAAAGCCCTAGCCCTGCCGACGTGAAGGAACTCCGTGAGCTCTCCTCCCCTACGAACCAACCCGGCGACCCCCTGTCCGCGAGTTTTTCCCCTCCGCGAGCGCCATCGTGAACCTGCTCCTGTGAAGTTCCGGCCGCCGCTGCTCCGCCCCGTCGCGCGTCTCAGCCGCCGTGAACCAGCAAAGGCCGTCATCTTTCATTCACAACCCACCGGCAAGACCACCCCAGCAAGCAGTCCCGATGCGCAACACCACCGCGAGCCGCTCCCGTTGCCGCCCTCATCCTCGGCGAGCAGCCCTGCAACTCCGGGCCCCTCCTCCGCGAACGACGAGCCTCGCCACAGCGGCATCCTTTATCGCCGTGAACCGCTGCTCCTCCTCGATCGCCTCTCCGCCGCTGCTCCTCCGTGAGTCCACCGGCGAGCCGAGCCTGAGCCGTCGAGCCCGTGGTGCCGTTCGCATCCGTTCTAACCATTCTCGTGTTTCCCGAGAACGGTATCGAGCCTCGATCCTTCTTGCGTTATTCACGTGTTTATTTGATGTGTTAATCGTGCCCGATGAATTATATATGAAGTGTATTTGTTGTGTACATGTGATATGATCATTTTCGATTGTAATGAATATGTTGAGCCGTGCTTGATTGAATTATGTGTCGATCTCGTCGATTCGTGCGAATCGAACGAGAACTCATTATAAGTGATTAGTTGCTGTGGATTTAGGAACCTAGGATTATTTCGAACACAATGGCGTTGGCCTTGTGTGGATTGGAGGTGTATATTTGTCGTTATGATTTTTCGAAGTTTGTATTGACTGTTTTGAATGTAAAATTCACTATAAATTGAATACTAGTCCGATTGCCTTGAAATTTTAGGAGCACCTGTGTAGCTGCTGTAAAATTTTCGTGATTTTTAAAGGTGCTTAGCTATTTTTAAAAATTAATTTGATTTCTGTTCAGTTTCTTGTAAAATGTATAATTAATTATGTAGTGCTATTTTCTGGCCAATTTTCGAGTATGTCATGTCTCTGGTATATTTATGTGTCGTGTAAAATTTTTAGAATTTTTGAACTAGGTTTGATAGGGTTAACAAATTATTTTGTGATTCTGCCCGAATTTGTTTTAATTATTATAAATTGTTCTGAAGCTTAAAAATTCTGCAAATTTGTAGAGGTGCTGATTATGTGATGTTCAGCCTGCTTTAAAAAGTTTAGAATTTTTGGAGTTCAGTTGTGATCAGTTCTGATATAAGTGCGATATTTGGCTGAATGTTGTTTTAATTTTTATAAATGGAAAAATTACATTTTGCCTACCTAAGTATCCCAAATTTTACACTTTATCTACAAACTTTTTTTTTTTACACTTTGCCTACCTAAATTTGATTTTTTGTACACTTTGCCATTTTTGATCACCGCCGGTGACACGTGTCAATAAGGCACAAGAGCCACGTATTGGTTTATGAGGCCGGCGGTGACCGAAAATGGCAAAGTGTAGCAAAAAATCAAAGTTAGGTAGGCAAAGTGTAAAAAAAAAAATTTGTAGGTAATGTGTAAATTTCCGGATAGTTAGGTAGGTAAAATATAATTTTCCCTTTATAAATTGATATCCTGAGTGTTGAAGGCTGGCAAATTTATGTGATACTGTTCATATGCTGTAGTATTTTAGATAAAAATTTCATAGCCTGAATCGTCCATTATCATGTGCTTTTAATTTAAACTCGTTTTTGTTGAAAAACTTTTATGAATTTTATAAAATTATGCATAAGGAGTTTGAAGCTGAAATTGGGTGATCTTACTTAGAACTGGGATGTG